TTTAGTTCCCAGAAACATGAGCTTTGCCATTATTTTAGAATTAAATTCATTGTGCTCAAGTTAATTTAAAATAAAACAAAACCACTGACAATAGGAGACAAGCCAAAGAGATGGTGGTGCTGATGTTCTCCAGGGGAAACTCAAGTCTAAAGAAAATATATCCAATGGAGGCGGGGGATGTTTGGAAATGATGAGCAAGTTTGTGTTCTTTGGGATAAAAAAAATGAGAGAGAAGAAAAAAAATGGAAGAATGGAGACTAGAGAATGAAATGTGGCATCCAGCTGATATGAGATTTCAGTGAAAATTACAAAGCAGTGTTGCCATTGTTTTCTGTGAAACTTAATTAATTTAGGGCCTAAATTGAGTGTTTTAACCAATAATTACAAATTTCAGTAATGAATACTATTAGATTTACTTTAGTTCTCCTTGTAGTCACTTGTGTAAAGTGAACAACACTCCCATAAGGGAGTATGTATTATAATGAGAGAGAGAAATTCTAAGCAAGCTGAGTTATGCACAAAATGGGGTCTGCCATTGAACAAGAGAGCAGTTTAAAAAAAAAAATTAAAAGCAGAAGTCTCTTAATGCACGGGTGTGTGTCATCAAGACAGTAGTGAAATGATAGGTGGTGACTGGGACACAAGCCCCGGGTGCTGTCTAAGGGCAGGGGGAGGGGGTTGTGCCAGAATGGAGCTAGTGGGGAGCCTCATGCTACCATTCCCCATCTCCTCCCACACCTTCCCTCCAGTGGCTCTGGCTCTGAATCTGCAAGTGGGGAGGGCAGAGCAGCAGTGGTGACACACAGTGTAGGAGTAGTGGCCACAACTTTACTGCTTCAGGGAGTAAGATACTGCTTCTTTTTGCCATTAAAATTGGGGTTTAAATGGGTGCTTGACAAAGGTGTCAATGGCAAAAAAAGGAGGCGACACCTCTGCCCACAGCAGCAAACCTGAAGCCACTGTTCCTGCACCTGTCACCACCACTGCAGTTCTGCCTTCCCTACTGCCAGAGCTAGAGTCACTTGCAGGGTGCTGGGAGAAGAGGAAAAGAGGAGGGGAGAGTTGGTGGGGAATGGGAGGTGGGGGGTGCCCTCCTCCTGTTCCATTCTGGCTGTGCTCAGGGCTCAGTACCGGCCAGTGATGCGTCTGCATGGAGATCAGTATTTGGATTTGGAAACAGAATGCTGACTTGTTTCAAATCAAGGAGGAAACCTGCTTGTATGAACCTCTGCCACTTGCTGGGCAAGGTGTTACCTCTGGATTAGCTTCTTGTAAGTGCTCAGAGCAGCATCATGGTCTCTAGAGCACCTGCTGTGTTTCATAGAGAATTAGCTGTGCCTGTAGCTACTTCTCCTATTTGTGTCCTCCTGCTAAATCACATGCTGGCAATTAAGACTACTTTAAAAAATGCACTTGCCCTGGACCTGGGCTGTTCCTGAGAGCACTGCTGAGCTTTCCTGCTTGGGCTCTGCACCTTCTAAGCGCTGAAATGAGGCTGTGAAGGAACTGGGGTGTGCCTTATAAGCTCTTTGTGTCCAGCAGGTTGGGGAGCAGGAGCAGCACCTTCCTCATATCTGGGCTTGGCCCATGTGAAGCTGAAGGGCGGAGGTATGCTTCTCTGTCATGCTCTGAAGAGTGCACTAGACATGCTCCAAGAATTTTCTAGGTCAGAGGTATAGCAGGGTAGCTGTTTGCTTTGGACACAGCCAGTGCATGGGGCAGCTCCATTTATTTCACTGCAGGTGCCAGAGACCCAGGAAGGCATCATCACCATCACCACCATCATCATCATCATCATCATCAGCTATTTTGGTGCCCCTCTACTCCCAAAGGCAGCACCCTCAGCTGCTCCAGTCACCCCCCTCAGTTATGCTGCTGTTCTAAGTATTGAATTCCATGTAAGAAACCATGGTACAGAACTGCTGTGGGACTGCAAATGGGATGGAAAGTACCCACAACACTCACAAACAGGAATCAAACTAGATGTGACTGGAGGAGGAGGAGAAGGTAATATGGGATCAATCAGAGCTGTGCAAGTAATGGGATTTTTCTGTTTAACAACTGAACTGAAAAGTCACCAACATTTTTCATTTTGGGCTGACCTAAAACGTTAAATTTAATCTGAAACTGCATGTTTGATTCTTAATCCTTTTTTTCTTTTAAAACTTTAGGTCAATTTCAAAGTGAAAATGTGATATCACAATGACAAATTGATCCTTTTTATTAGAAAAGATAAAAAAGATGCTGGCTCCAGAAAGGAGCAGGGAAGAGGTTTACTCCCCACCTCCCCCTCTCCCCTGTCCCACCAACATGGACTTGCCAGGCATTTCTCCACTGGCTGTTCCAGTGGTGGGGGCATGGCCAGCCCCAACAGTAGCCTGGAGTGAACTGACCCCCTCCCTGTCCCACTGGCACAGACCCAACCAGGGTCTGCCAGGCACTCCCCCATCACTGCCACAGCAGTGGGGGTGGGAGTGTGGCCAGATGCTGGTGGGAATGGCTCGTTAGGCAGAATGGGCAGGAAGGAGGGATATTTTCCCCCTCTGCCCCTTCTGTCCCTGGGGGACTGCAGCAGGATCTGCCCACCCTGACTACCACCACCTCCAATCACTCCCTGTGCAGGGTGAGCAGGAGAATAAATCCCCTCCCTGCCCCTTCCAGCAGATGCTGGAGGGAGGGGGGAAATAACCTCCTTCCCTGCCCCCTCACCTAAGGAGGCCTGCTGGTCAGCCTCTGGCCATGCCCCTGCCCTTGCCACTAGAGTGGTGAGGGGGCAGGGCCCTTGATGGAGACAGCAGCCTCTGTCATGGTGTCCTGGAGCACACGCCTCTTCCCAGCACAGGGAGAGCAGTAGCACTGGGACTTGGAGGGGGCCATAGCCCCCCAACCCCCGCTAGCACTGCTGCTGCTTGCCCTGCGCATTCTGAGGTAGCTTTCCCCACCCCACCCCTGCTGGCAGCATGGCCACCCCATTGGAAAGAGGCTGTGCTTCAGGACACCATGGCAGGGGGTGCTGCCCCCATCAGAGTCGTTCCCCTTTCACTGCTTGAGCAGCAGGGGCATGGCCAGAGACCAGCTGGCATGGCTTCTTACATGAGGGGGCAGGGAGGGGGGTTATTCCCCACCTCTGCCGCTGGGGGACCACAGTGGGGTCTGCAGCGCCCCCTGGTCATGGTGTCCCGGAGCATGATCCTCTTCCCAGAGGGTGGCCACAGTGCAGGCGAGGATGGGCGTGGGGGTGGGATGGGGAAAGCTGCTGCAGACTGGGCAGGGTGAGTAGTGGTGGCGCTGGGGTGGTGGTTGGGGGGGCTATGGCCACTGCTCCTAGCTCTGGTGCTGCTGCTTGTCCTATGGAGTCTATGACAGCTCTGACCCCCTGCTCCAGCCTGCCGTGCAGCCCCCATGCCAGGAGGAGGCTCACACTTGCTGGACACCATGACGGGGTGTGGGGAGCCATCAAGGTCCCTGCCCCCTCACCGCTCCAGCAGCAGGGGCAGGGGCACAGCCAGTGGTTGGCTGGCAAGGCCCCCTAGGTGTGGGGTCAGGGAGGGGACTTATCCCACTGCTTGTCCCACATAGGGACGAATGGGTCCAAGGAGGTGATACTTCCCCTCTATTGGGCGCTGGTCAGACTGAAGTTGGAGTACTGCGTGCAATTCTGGGCGCCGCAATTCGAGAGGGATGCGGATAACCTGGAGAGGGTCCAGGGAAGGGCCACTCATATGGTTAAGGGCCTACAGACCAAGCCCTACGACGAGAAACTGGACCATTTCAGCCTCCGCAAGAGAGGGTTGAGAGGCGACCTTGTGGCTGCCTATAAGTTCATCACGGGGGCACAGAAGGGAATTGGTGAATATTTATTCACCAAGGTGCCCCAGGGGGTTACAAGAAATAATGGCCACAAGCTAGCAGAGAGCAGATTTAGATTGGACATTAGAAGAACTTCTTCACAGTTAGAGTGGCCAGGGTCTGGAACGGGCTCCCAAGGGAGGTGGTGCTCTCCCCTACCCTGGGGGTCTTCAAGAAGAGGTTGAATAAGCATCTAGCTGGGGTCATCTAGACCCAGCCCTCTTTCCTGCCTATGCAGGGGGTCGGACTCGATGATCTATTGAGGTCCCTTCCGACCCTAACATCTATGAATCTATAGGGAACGATTGGTGGCAGTGGTGGTTGGGGCTGGCAGACCCTGCTGGTGTCTCCTGGGGGCAGAAGGAGCAGGGAATAACCCCTCTCC